ATGCAACTATTGGAACTTACACATGTATAGCAACAAATGATGCAGGTAGCAGTCAGGCAAACATCAAAGTGAAAGTAACCTATGGTAAGAAAATAAATTTTAGTCTTCAAAAGTTTAGTTTTAATCGAAGGGAAATTTTGATTCTTATCGACAATTTTAAATCTTAAAGGGGCATTAGCTACGATTTAGAGAAAAAAATTAAAACACGATTCGTTTCGTTTCAATTAATATTTTAACAGAGGAAATTTGAAATAATATTTCGTTATGAGAAGTTAGTTTGGTCCAAATTTGTCAAAATAAGCTCATAAAAATCGCTGATGTATTATTGACTTGCAAGTGAATAATTCGAACTATTGTGAATCCGTATTCATGTGAACCTTAATTTAAACCCTTTGCTGGAGATTGGTTACGCATGTACTAGGCGTGTTCGGCTATTAAAAGGAAAATAATATCAACATTGAAAGTGAAACAAGGGTGAAACATTTGGTAGACTGATTCTATCCACAAAAAAAACTCATTCTTTTACAGGTAAAATCGATGATTAACATATTTGTTTAACCTTTAACATGAAATCAAACAGACCTTTAATAATCTAATTGCACGTGGTCGCTATCTATTTATATGTATATTTATGTTTATATCCGGCAGTCTTCGGAAGTCATCTCAATAATTAATTAGATGGCGTCTAGAGTAAAATAAGCACGAAATGCTGATATATATTTTAGAGTCCATGCATAATTGTTTTTATTTTTGACTTGTGTAATTTGAGTATACGTTTTAGTATGTTATAAACCTTTGAATATTGCATCAAATTAACAATCAGATGATCTGATAGGATTGCCAATTAGGAAATTCTCCATCAGTGACCAAACGACGTATATCGAAGAAAGCAACTATAGGACATCTTTTTACTAGAACTCCTCACTAGTAAACGAATTTTAGTCTTATACGGCCATTTTGATCTGAACACCATGTATAGAATTGGAATACTGAATTAGTCAGTCATGTTCAGTCTTTCCGATAATTTTCAGAATTATACACTACGGTCAATGCAGACTGCAGACCAATTGTCTGAACAGTACTGAAATCAAACAATTTATTTTTCAGTCTTTTAAGAGCAATTCGGATCAAAATGACCGTTCCAAATCAAAGTTGGTTCTCTAGTGCCTTTTCATTTATTGTTTTTGTTGCTTTATCATTTAGATGTTCCAAAAATCGTCACCCCTCCTTTAACGTCTGTGATAATGGCTGGACAATCACATAACTTTACTTGTATTGCAACAGGACATCCAGAACCAACAATAATATGGACATATAAAATGGTTAGTGTGGTTACTTTCAGATAATTTTATGTGTAACTGTCACGGGCATATCCAGGATTCGAGGAAAAGGGATATTTTTTTACTATTTTCATATTACCGACAGTTAATTTTTCCCTAAATTGCCCCGAATGAAATCTTGATTGTATTTTTTTAATTGCTCTTACTGGACCGAGTACCAGGAAGTTCTACCAGAGAATAGTTGTATCTCACAAAATTATATACTCTGGAGTCAAAAGTCGGTAATACGAAAACAGTCTACTGTTTCCGTAACGGAAAATAGCACTATTTTTCATAACGATTTTATGTCCTCTCCCATTTTTAAGTCCCTCTTCACACACCCAAAATTAATAACTGAGTCCCCCACTGACTGTGTCGTTGGTAGGTTCGTATTGGATAGATAGGTAGATGAATATCGATTCTGCTCTTCATAACATGTAATTCTGATTTTTTTTATAGCTACAATTTTGTTACAGAAAGGGAGTAATCGTGAATTTCATCATTTTTGCTTATATTCTATTTCTTATACAGGGAACAGCACAGGCTATTTTATGGTGCTGCTCCTCTACCCTTGGATTTGGAATTTCACTCTTGACTTTCTCAGCTTCAAACTTGCATTTTATGATTATATCAGAATTTATTTTTTTTAAATAATACTTTATCAGTATCATTTCGGGAGACTATAAATAAGTATTTGACGTTTCGTCATAAAATTATAATATATTATATATATTACAATATAGTATTTAATAGTATTACAAAATGGTATGAATTATAAATATTTCTTTCGTTTATAAAGGTTATAAGATAATAAGTGTATAAACTCTTCCTATGAAAATATACATTTAGGTATTTTAAAAAAAAACGTTTATATTTTCTATAATTTAGCTCCAACTTAAATGAAGAAATTTTTCCATTGCATATGACAGTTTACCAAACACACAACAGATATGCCATCACACCATCTCTATAAACATGATTCTGTTCTTACTTTGTACTCTATAAATACACAAGAATCTGGTCTACTAACATGTTCTGCGACAAATGAATTCGGAGAGGACCACGTTTCCGTGTCTGTCATTGTAAGGAGCCGTAAGTATATTAATTTATAAACAAATGTATTATTGCATTGGTACGAAATAAAGCCTCAAATTTAGTCAAACTTCAAAAATCAACTTTGCTGGCTGGAGTTAAAACCTTAGATTTTTAAATTTTCTAAAATCAACGGAGAATATAAGAAAATTATTGCAATATGGTATTAATCGTGTCAGTACTAAAGCACTGATTACTAAGCTGATGATACCCTCTTGGATTAACAGTACATTAGCAATAGTATGGACCCAGTGCTACGAAATCAGGAGACACAAAATAGAAAGTGCAAAACTGTTATGAATTTTTTTTTTGTAAAGATCATATATTTACCTTTCTTTATAGATGTTTCGTTGTGATGACATGTTGCATTAGATTATTAACAATAATTTATTTGTAAAATTTGTAAAATTTATTTTATTTTTTTTCGTATTATTTAACAGCGAATCCAGTTGGGTAAGAGTTGGACTACACTCATATCGTACCATGTTGAGCACAAATAAAATGAAATATTCGGAATTTATTTTAATGACTTTGGAATCAAGTTATGGGTACTACATACGTAAATGAAGCAATCTGATTACAGAGTCTGCATCCGATCTGTTCCCTAGCTTTATATGTTTGTATCTGGTACGAATAGAATTGGATGTGACGTAAACGTCACTGAAACAGCAACCAAACAACAAAAATTAATAAAAGACATATATAAGGCAACATATAGTCTTCATGTCGTGGATTGCTGTATGTTATATTTATTTCTTTGTCATTAAATCAGGCCGTTGGTTTTTACATTTGGATTTTTTTCACATTTGGTCATGTCGGAGCCTCCTATAGCTGATTGCTAATTTTAAAGGTCGTATACGGTAACCTATAGTTGCTTAAATCCACGTCATGTTGGATAGTTGTCTCATTGGCAATCATACCATATCTCCTTATTTTATTTTCAACAATTGGCAGGTGTATACACACTGAGATTTCAAAAAGACACATTGAGATGAAATAAACTGAAAAATACACACTTAGAAGTTGAAATTACACACTGAGATTTGTGCGCACTTTTTATGCGCACATATCTAATTAGCATACTTAATCTGAATCTATTACAAGCTTAAAACAACTAGGGGACAGAACTCGTTAGTCCTTCAATTTGACGTCAAATGTTTTATAAAACACATTAGAAATACAACGTATAGAAAAACTATCAAGATCAAAAGAACAAGAAAAATACCCACTTACTCTCATTACAAAATATAACTAAATGGTGAAAAACTTTATTGAAATTATAAGAAAACATTAGAACAATCTGCAAAAAGACAAAGAATGCAGTGAAAATTTTACCCAAATGCCTATTATAGCATATAAACGTTACACAAATATAAAAGATTACCTTGCGAAATCAGGGTAACAGTTGAAAGACTTTAGAAAAGGGACCCACGCTTAAACAGTTTTAAGCAAAAAACTCCCGATACACTGTTAGTAATAATCGAAATTAAAGTCAACAAACTTATGAATATGAGTTAGCAAAAAACGATGTTAAGTCTTTATATTTATTATTAATGATGGTTGAAGGAACCGCATTTCATTATAATGACGAGAGCTCGGGAGACCAAGATATTAATCTGTTGAATTATTCATCTCATGAATATTCATTATTAATGAGCATATTAATCTCAATGTAATTTCGTTTTCTCAGTGTGTTATTTTAGGTTTTTAAATTAGTGTGGTTATTTTAATCTCAGTGTGTAATTTTTTCGAAAAAAAGGTTTAAACATAGTTTTGACGAGAACGGCTTGCCATAAACGATCTGCCATCAACACCAAAATCTTTAAAGAGCAAAAACATTTAGATATGACATCAGACAATCATTGATGAGGTTCATGACTTGGTACATTTACATAATTATTTGGCAGAATGAAGCTAGTTTATAAGATCTCTACCCTCTCCTTTTTAACTTCAATAAGTAGACTATGAAAACACATATAAAAGGAAATACAATAACAAGAATATGTGTCCGTAGGATAACTACCTTAAAACCAAAACTTCAAATCGATACGGGACGGGACGGGACTTGAGGACGTACAAACCGGAAAACATATATTGCCAATTACTTTTGTAGACAGGACATTTAAACAGTACTTGAAGAGCACAAATAAAAAATGACTAGTCATAAATAACAAAAACACAAAATAATAAACCATAGGATAAATCATAAAAGAATTATCGCCGTTACTGAAAGAAAGCTAAAGGCACCTTAGAGAGGCGAAAGATACCAAAGGGACATTCAAACTCATAAGTCGAAAATAAACTGACAACGCCATGGCGAAAAAAGAAAAGAACCAACAGACACACAACAGTACACAAAACACAACATAGAAAACTAAAGACTGGGCAACCTGCTCATAAGAAATCATCATGCTGTCCTACAATCTCTACAAACAAGATTTCGTAAAGCAACGCCATGAACAGTATTCGGAAACTCCATGCTGGGCATCTAACAAACTATACAACGCTATAATTATATAAAGACTTCATCAGTAAGTCTTTAAAGCTGAAGACAATGATTTTTAAAAAATATACTTAAACAACAAAGAATATGTGTTTCTATGAAGATTTTATTATAGAATAAACAACCGGTTGTCGTTCATTCTGATTAAGAAACAAAAATGATAGTTTTAGAAAATATAAGGTGTATATAACGTATATCAATAACAAAGACATTTTCCCTTTATGACTGAAATCATTCAATGCGACTGTTATCAAAATTATGTGTTCATACTAGCATGACAATACGGATATGTTTTTTATTAAATTTGCAGCGATAAAACTTTGGAAATCTTTGAAATTAAGAAATGTATCTCTCTCATTCATACATTGAGGCTCTCCTTTTATGTCTGTGGTTGGTTATTTTTTTTTCACTTCAATGTTCATATAAGATCAAAAATAAATTTAACATTTTGGCTTCGATCATCACGGAAAAGATAGTATCGTGTGGAGGTTTATAAGTGTGGGTTTTACTTTTCTAGTTAATGGTCTAAATAGGCGAAGGGGTGATTGTCCGCACGTAACCACGTTGTGTGCCTGTACAAAGAAGGGCTACCTTGACCAAGTGTTGTTCGTCGATGTTGTCTGTACGATTATTTTCTCGAAGGAGTCGAGTGTTGGTGGTTGGTGTGGACTGTTGTACTGTTGTACTATATATATCCGGTGCAGAAAAAACCGGTATAGATTTAAATTCTCAATGAGTCACTTTCAAGAATTTTTTTGAATTTCAAAAATGAGTTAAAAATATACCAAAAGACTACAAAATCCAGATATCAACTAAAATAATGTATTTTTTAAATGTGGTTGTTTTCTGGTATACCGGTAGTATGAATTTATTGAATGAAACATCAAGTGCACCAAACGACTTTATTTGCACAAAATCTCTACAAAACACTCGTCCTTTCAGCGTGTATTAACCAAATATTTTAAGAATGATACACGAAGAAAATAAATTTATCACAGCTTAACCTATCAAGAGAACAGATGCTGTAATATTTGCCGTGTAGACGAAGAAGTCTTAATGGGCGGGAGATAACTCTTACTGGAAATTCGCACCACTTAGAAATATTTCGATGATTTATTTAAAAAGAAATACCGTCTGATATTTTAATACACGAAAAAATGAAAGGGAAATGTAAACGATTCAAAACATATTTTTTCAAAATTTTGTTTTGTATTGTTGTCTATCATTTGTACATGAACCTATCGAAATGTTTAGAATAACCAATTTTTGTACAGTGGCTCTTTTCACAAAAAGTATTACGAGTGATTTAAAAATACTCATATCAGTATAAATTACGGTCAATTTTTATCGTCAGATATTTTGTGAAAATAGTCGCTGTACAGAACTAAAATCGTTCTTGCTTATCATAAGCCCGTAGAAACAAATGACTCTTTAAAATTCGTTATAGAGGACAATGTTTCGTTAAATGTAAGAAAGTTCTGTATATGCAATTTACATTGATAGTGATACTGATAAGTAATTACCAAGGTAAGACAGAACTGATTCCCTCAGTCCGTAGTTGATTACCATATTAGTTATATACTGATTATACTGTATGTGTTTTGTTTATTATAGAAGGTTGTACGGTGACCTATAGTTGAGGGTCTGGATGGGGTCCTTCATTTCTATCTTCTTTAATTTTTTATGTCATTTTTCTCTATTCTTTAAATTTTTGCCCATTATTGTATATTTTATTTTTTAATACCCTTTCATTCTCAATTCTAATTTTCTTTGGCCTATTTTTCTCTTTTCGGTATTTTTTGGCCCATTTGTCTGCAGTATTGGTCCATTATCCTCTTTTCTGTAAACCAGATCCAGGCCGTCATAAATGCTTACATCCACGTCATATGGATTCAATGCTCCGTGTTGAAGGCCGTACTTTGACCTATAATTGTTTACTTTTTACACCTTGTGACTTGGATGGATAGTTGTCTCATTGGCACTCATACCACATCTTCTTATTTATATATCTGATGGATACTTGTCTCATTGACAACATCATTCCACATTTAATGTTTATATACCGAGTTATTATTCATGAGTTTACTGATTTCCGTGGATTTCATGTGTAATTTTTGTAGATTTCGCGGGTATATTTGAACCAATAATTTAAGTGATCAACAAAATAATAATTGTATTCAATATGTTAAGCAGAATTTGTTTAAACCACGAAATGAAATATCCAAAAAATACAATTTTTTCACAATGGACGAAAATTGATATATAAGATTTTAAATGAATTCACAGCATCTTTGAACGAGTTCGATTTCACAGACATAATTTTAACTTAAATTGTGAGCGAGTGAATAATCAATTAATGAAAGTTTTATCGGATAATGAACCGTTTCAATGGTACTTTTAAACGGAATGTACAATTCCATAGAAAACAAAGTCTGAGTTAGATAAGTTTAGAAAGTAGAAGTTCATCTTGTGTCATACATGTACAGTTACATCTCTCTATATCACAGAGGCCTTTAGGGCAATTGTTATTACACCATTTAAGTAGTCCTGGAGTATGGCTCCATTCTGGTGTTACGGTGCAAGATAGAACAGTTCCTGTTAAACAGCGATCTTCTTTTTCAGCCCTTCCTGTTACACTGCCACCTCCCATCATTTGTGAAAAGAGTGAAGCCATTCCGACATCCATAGCAGGATTCCCTTTACCTGCTTTATTCCCAGCGGTTCCGGCCGAAGACATTGATCCCAGATTAAATGCATCGAATGGCATATCTGTTCCTAATTTACCAAATGGTGAAGTATCTGACCTCTTTGAACCACCAAAAAGATCAAACCCTGGCCCCGTAGAAGTCATTGAATTACCTCCAAATAAGTCTATACCGCCTTTTCCGCCAATTCCATTCCCACCAACTGCATTAAAAATTTCATTACCTTCACCACCAAGACCCATACCAGGCAATTGGGCAAGTATACCACTGAGGTCGAGGTTAATGGCTCCCCCAGGTTTATTACCAGATCCAGGTATCTTAAGTTTTAAGTTATTTGAGGATCCGATCCCGGAATTAGTTCCGTGTCCTCCCTTACTTCCACCACCACCATGTCCGTTATTACTCCCAGTTCCGCCTTTTCCGCCATGACCTCCAGCTCCACCATTTCCACCATGACCTCCTCCATTACCATGACTACCCCCATTACCATGACCTCCAGCCCCGCCAATTCCACCATGACCTCCTCCGTTACCATGACCACCACCATTACCATGACCTCCAGCCCCGCCCATTCCAAAATGACCTCCTCCATTACCATGACCACCACCATTACCATGAGCTCCAGTCCCGTCTATTCCAGTATGACCTCCATTACCATGACCTCCAGCCCCGTCCATTCCAAGATGACCTCCTCTTTTACCATGACCTCCGTTCCCACCCGTTCCAATATGACCTCCACCATTGCCATTACCTGTACCAAAATCAGTGAAACCATGTCCCATATTTGTACCTCCTACTTCATGATTGCCTACACCACCATTGTTTCCAGCGGCTATATCAAACAGATTGCCTACAAGTATTCCACCAGCCCCTGAATTATGACCATTTACCCCATTTGTATGTGTAGCAATGTGACCATGGCCATGACCTTGACCACCATGGCCTTGAACACCACTGCCACCATGCCCACTATTACCACCTAGTCCTCCATTTGCTCCTAGTCCCTGTCCCGGACCCACAGGACTGTGAACATCGATTTTCACTTGTACTGTTTCAGTTTCTATACCATGAAGTGGTGCGATTGCCGGCTCTTGTGCTTGTATTGGACCTGCAACTGAACCATCAATAGGCGAGATCAGTTTTATTGGTTCAGCAAACGCATCGCCTGATACACCAGGTAACGGTTGAGGAAAGTTATTGCCAAATACCGGAAGTCCATTGTTCAGTATAACTCCATCTGGTCCATCCCATATAACTGTTCTGTCGCCACCACCAATATTTTGAACTCCTCCAACAATGTTTCCTCCTTCAGATATTAATACCCCATTACCATGATTACTGGTTCTAGGAAAGGGTAGGTGCACGCCGTCAAAAATAGCCACAGCACCATTGCTGGCTCCAAAATTATCTCCTAAGCCTAACTCAGGACCATCAAAAACTATTCCGTTTCCAATATCTGTCATCTCTCCAACAGTTCTACGAATGCCTCCGTCTATATGTCCACCAACAGCCATTCCAAGTCCGAGCTTCGCATCAAAGTTGTGTTGTTCATTTAAATTGAGGTCTCTTCTTACACTTAAACTGTTAGAATTGCCAACAACTTCACTTATAATGGTTCTTCCTGGTCTGTTGGCTACACATTGACAGTTACAGGTTAAAGGACATACCCCTTCACCACAGCCAAGAGCACATAAATAGTTCGTGGATTCACCATAAATCTGCGCTGTACAGGATACAGTCTGATGTTTATTACAAAAGGGTATAAGCTGTTGTTTTTCTACTGGTATCAACAAATGCGGAATTAAAACTTTAGAGAATTTGACCTTGGCCTTAGGTTGGCACTTACAGATGCATGGTTTAAAACATGGCTTCCCTTTACATAATGTCACACATTTTCTTGTTGGCTTCCCGTTGAGAACGTAATACGGGAACTTATAACATTTAGCTATGAAATTTTGAGGACACATTCTTGGACGTTTACTGTAGTCAAAATTAATTTCTGTTTCTTTCCAAACTTTAATAGCCTTTTTGGCGACCTGTATAGGAATAACTCTGGCATTAACGCCATCCAATTTCATCTTTGGCTGAAAAATAAAAAATAAGATAGTGTTATACTACATGTACTATCACACACATATGTTTTGGTAAAGCTTGGCTAAAACGTATCGTGTAGTAATTATGCCAAAGGAATGGGCATCCCTGCAATATTATTTTGGAAACCATATCCAAAATAGAATAGAGCATGTCTAATTATTTATATATGTTAAAAACTAACTTGATACACATCCATCGCATAGAATATGAAGATAACCAATCTCGACTTTTTGATATTTCTTTCACTTTTTGAACCCTGTTATTCAAACCTTTCAAGTGTTCAGCGGAACTATAGAAATATGGTTATCTCTATACTCCGCCCTTTCGGCTTATGGAACCCATGTTAAACAGGGGCGTCCGTTTGGCTGTTCTGGGTGTATAAATACAGTCACGCAAGGTCGATATGGAGACGTAAAACTCGATGCCTAGTTTAGGGAGAGTCCTGCTCCCTTTACATTAAAGAACCCTTGCAACAACTCTTTGAGAGCTCCGTTGGTTGCATGTTGAAAATCAAAATGTACTACCCCTAGCTAACAAACTTTCTTTTTCCAGTGGCAGTGTCGATCGATCAACATTATAGAAACAATCTATTTGATTTACTGTTAATTTGATCTTGTCGTCCAAATGTATGAAATATTTGCAACTGGACATTTATTACAAAACAATTAATCGATCAACCTGTTATCCAATCAAACCTATAGAAAATATTGCAATTTTGTTTCTGGTCAAAATATTTAATGGCATGTTTTGAGTTCTCTCTTCATTGCGACGTGTCTGTATTACTGCTCTATTTTGAGCTTAAGGGAGAACATAATGCGTTTTATTAACAACAACAAAAACGAAAGAAATATTTAAAAGACATGTATACAACTTTTTAGATAAGTCTAAGTTACAACTCGGCCACATTCTCTTTTCCATTTCAAAATTAGATATTGAAGAAGTATGTTCGTAGCTACTGAAAGCAAGCTCCATGTATTTACTATGTGTGCTGATACTAAATTATGCCATTCTACACTCTAATATTGATGGATGAACTTCATACTAAATTTTATACAGCAGTGTCATACAAAGTACAGGAATTCAAAATATTATGCAATGTTCAGAACAAACCTATACCGCATTTAAATGCAAAATAGAAAGGGAACATTTTACCTGGATTCAGTACTTCTATACTTTCATTTGTTTGCATGCAGGTGGCATCGAAATCAACTCATGAATATGCATAGTGTTGGAATATATTAATCGAATTACTTTTGTATGTGCCTTTTTGAAATGACAAAGTTTTAGTAATTGAAATAAATAACGACATTTAATGAGACAAGTAAATATAAACCATGTATAAAATACAACGATGTACTAATCATTCTGTGGTGTCATATTAACCTTAAATTGTTTTTGCACAACAATGGATTCAAACGACTACTAAAAGCAAGAATAACAATTTACCGATCATTTGATGGTTTAAAAGTGACAGTTATTCTTCTAGGAGATATATCGCCTTTTACTTTAAGAATAGATATGTTCTTAATACAATGCCGTATTGATATATAACACAAATTAACAAAGAAAAGTTAGCGACTGACTAATTCTGGTCCAGGTCGCTTTTCAAATTTAAAAGGTCACAGAAGTTGATTTTACTCATTTGAATGTTAGGAGGTGGCTATATGCAGCAGCCCAAAGTAACAAAAAATCGAAAGACTATAGGTCAAAATAGGTCTATAATATGCCAAGCTCTAAAACGCCTCATCTTAGTAAAAAGACTATAGGTCAACAAATACGGTCTATATGATATGTCAAGCTCTAAAACGCCTTATCGCAAGTTTTCAATAAATTTAGAGACTTTTTAAAAAAAAAACAATTGGTTTATTCGTTTTTGTTTTTGTTTTTTCATTTTTCAACTCGGTATATTAGAAGCCTTCACTCTAAGAGGCCTTTTGTTTTCAAGAGTTTGTATGTTCCGTGGTTGAATGACAGTCGATCACCGCCACATCTTGCCCGTTAGAACATTAGCAACCCGTTTAATCTACAAAAGTAAAAGGATACCAAGAGAACAAACAACATGAGCCTAAGAGAGATAGACAACACCATGGCAAAAAGAAAGATGAAAAGTACAACATCATGCAATGATATTTCATCTGGAGTGGTGACAAACTTTCACAGGTATCTTTAGATGCAGTGTATTTCTTATTTCTTATCAATTGCTAAATGAAATGGTTAGCATGCTTGAAAAAACAACAATAATAATGGCAGTAGAGGTGGACTTTTTTTCCAAAACAATATTATTCGCCAAATAGGGATAGATATGATATGATTTTTCAAAAGCATTTATTTAATTATTCCATTTTCTAGTTTGACATTTTTAGACTCCAATGTATACTTCCTCAATCAAATTTAATCTAACACGTCTATGACTGCTCTCTATACGAATCCAGTAAGTTTCAAAGTTTGCAAATATTGATTTCACTGTAAGCATGGTAAGGCAGTTGTTGTGATTATTTGTTAGTTCGTTTCTGTGGAATCACTTATGCTTAAGACGAATCAAAATTGGTGATAGTTTTAAGATTTCTATAAATGCTCATTTTGTTTTTCTTTTTACGTATTTCCTTTTAGTTTTCTAAAAAAAAAATTCTTTCTGTCGTTAAAGAATTATCGTTTGTTTATCAATGCAATAGACATTCCATATTGTTATAAAAATGAAAACCACATGTTATAATTTTCATGCGTCCGAAGGGTTTTTCTGGATTTACCTTCATCAGGAACGCTCAAAGCCGAATATTTGAAAGCCAATGAAGTCTAAGAACCAAAACAGTTGGAGATCTTTATGACTAAAAGGACCTAAAAAAAATAGCAAATCATTCGAAGGTCAACTTTGCCTGAGAGAGTTTAAACCTTAGTTTCTTTATAATTCTTTATATATATAAGAATTTTAAATTTAATTGAATTATAAATGCTTTCAAAAGAAATTTTGGACAAGTCTTCAGGTAATGATAGAGATGTGCGTCATATATTTATTAAATAATTATTGATCATGATATTATATTTTTTTTACATGTCAAATTTGTTAAATGTACATTTTTGTACAATGTTTGTGTTTAAACAATTTTATCTAGTAAAAGTGTATACTTGCATTATCATAGTCCGTTTCCTTTATGGTATGCGAATACATTCAAATAGAGAAAAATACATAAACAATTTCTGTCATCCATTCACACTTTATAACTTTCGGCTGCAAGTGTTCTATTAAAAGAATACAGACAGATCGCTTTTGATAGGATTTTCATGTGTTTTATATTTTAGCAAATTGACTACAGGAAAACATTGCCAACAGTTAAACCCAGTATCACATTTACAATGAATTGCCTTTGTAACATAGAATAAAAAATATAAAGAGATCCTGCCAAATTATAATGTAAACCTATAGTAGCAATTCCAGTTACAGCAACACGCATCACTAGAACATTGTACATGTATGCTCAAGACAAGACATTCTGGGTGCAAAATACATAAAACGTAAATATACAGAAAAAAGTACTATCTTAAAAGTGACAAAAATATGCGAGGTCAACTTTCCCATTATGCATGGACAACGTGCTTATTTAAAGACTGATGTTTTCTGCAAAGTCGAAGTCGCGACTTCGGCAAATTTAGGAAACTTTGCAATGACTATTGACGTAGTATATAAACGAAGCAATATTACTACGCACGCATGAAAAAAATAAAAACATAGAAGTAGATCACCCTCAAACTGTGCATAGAAGAACACAGCTGTGGGCTAATATCAACAAATTATAAATTATATCTGGCAAAGAAATCTAACAAATACTGTCGTAAATAGTCCGACAATCTCAAAGTAAAATACAGATACAAATAAACATTTAGACAACAACGAGCAAATATAGAATGGACAGTGTATAACTTGCAAATTTTTTCCAACACCTTCCGAATTTATTTAAAAAATGATGGGCAATGAAAAGTAGTGATTTGGTTCAGTTGAAAAAAGGGTAAAAAATTAGTATGTCTGAATCTGTCAAACTGAATTATCGACCCCTTCACATTGAATTGTCCATATGTTGATTTAGAGCTGGTCGATTTTTCTATAATTTTTTTATAAAATTTATCCCATAAGTCATAACCGTCAAGAAGACCACACATATGGACTCTGTAAACAGAAGAATTATGAATGTCTAATGTAATAATTTCTACTAACTTCCGCAAATAAACTAGACTGAGACCTGACTTGTTATGAGGTTAACAGCATCATCGGAAAATTTTCCACATTTGTCTTTATCAAATCTAATATAACCGCCGATTCCTTTCAATTCATGCTTAATGTTTCAGATCATTACACAATGTAAGAAGAATCTGAACAAAAAATATTCATGAAATGTTTAACCAAATGTAGCGGCTTCGACGAAAATTTGGGGCAGGATATTTATTAATAGACCGTGTTCACATGACTAATTTCGATGTAGAAAACAACAGTTTCACTATCGCAAATTGAGAAGTGTTCTCGTTTTGTTAATGCACAAAATGCGACAGGTTACTACTAACTTATCTAAGTTACGGCTATTTTACGATTCAAAATTCATTTTTTAAATGAACTGTACATGGCCCAGGGGATATAAAAAGGAATACGAGCACATATCCCCTTTGAAGATCCCGAATAACATATATTTAAATTTTTTGCTTCATTTTTGAAGAATGCAAATCCTCCTTTCCTATTATGATTGTGCACAAGACATGTATTTTTTGAAACAAGGATTTCGGTTACGAAATAGCACAAACATTTTGGAAGCATCTCAATGCAGAGGAGCGTAACGAGAAATACTCAAATCGTTGCAATAATGATTTGTAAATAGAATAGCCAATCGTCATTATAGTTTTAAAATTTTATGTCAAAAGAGACAATTAATTATTATATACACATTTATGTTACAGGCATTTTCTAAATTTAGGCATTTTGTGAAATGCCTGCAAGATTCAGGCATTTTACATAATGACTGTTTTTTCTAGGCATTTTTATTTCCCTGAAATTATTTTATAGAATGAAATGTTAAAAAAAAACAATTGAAAGCTTGTAGAGCAGTTTTATTTATGATAATTACTGAATGTTAAAGCTTGCAATTTAAGAGTTTTAATAATCAAAAATAAGTTTTACTGAATTATTCCAATTGCACACAAGCACAGAACTCGACAATTATTTATTATTTCTTAAAATGTTTAGATGACAGAACTGTTACACAATATTTATCCTATTTTTTTTAAACACATTGTTTGGCGTAAAATCTGGTTTTAGCACTTCGACCACATTTGGAGAAACCTGGATCATGACACATTTAGCTCTTTCATTACCTTTTCTGATAAAACACTTAACGTTCGACAACATTGGTTTTCACAATAAGCACACACGTCACACATGAATATCTTCTTTTTCATATGTTCCCAAAAGATTAAAAGTACATTATCATGATTAGTTTGACTTGTATATTTTGGCTTACAGCTGAAGCAGATCTGCCTATGACGGGTGATGCAACTATAACAGGAGACGCTTACTCTGTCAATGCACCGTTATTTGTCTCTCGTTGGTCGATTTCGAGATTTTGTAAAAATACAGAGTGAGTACATACTTAATGTAGTTTCACTAAAAAGAACATATCATATGACATACAAACTTTCCCAGCTGGTTTTTGAAGAATAAATTAATTCTACCGAACCATTAGTTATTTTCTTTGCAAGATGTTGTGTTTTTGTCCACTTTTTGACATATGCTTCTCAATGATATCCTTTTTCTACAAATTGCCTGAAACTGAACAGGCAATTTGTTGAATTTTGTTTCGAAATTTCAGTCATTTTACAAAATGACTAGGTATTTTTAGTCATTTTATATAATGCCTGTCAAGGTTAGGCATTTTAAAATTGCCTGAAAATTCAGTCATTTTACAAAATGCCTATATTTAGAAAATGCCTGTAACATATGTTACATACAACCTTTAATGTTCAGATTTATATCAACTATATAGACCCAAAAGAGGTTTCTTTACTGGTGTGATTCAGTTATTACTAGAATGACAGTATGATTGCCGGTTGTCTTCGAGTGTCAATTTGTTGTGGTGTATATAAAATTTATAGAGGAAGCCGAAACAATAAACATGGTCGCATGTTGACATTGTATATACATGTTGTAAAAATATCCAAATTGACACGTTTATAGTTGCGCTTGCTTTTATTTAATCGATTTTATTTATCTAGCTGTCAGGTAGCAAGGATATATATACTAAGAACCTGTATGTTCATAATTTTACGCTTCATTGTTATCATTAGTACAACCATATAGGTTGTATACTATTTGAAATTGTCAAGTAACGTAATACATGCCGGTATAAGTTTAGTTCCAATTGACCGACTTGTGACCTGATTACAACAAATGACAATAATTTCAATGATAAAACAGATTATTCCCCTTTTCTCCTTTTGCAGATTTTGCATTCACTTTAAAAATATGAAGATGTGGTATGATTGCCAATGAGACATCTATCCACCAGAAACCAAATGATGCAGAAGTAAGCAACTATAAGTCACCGTACGGCCTTCAACACTGAGCAAAATCCATACCTTGTTTACAAAATAGTTACAGATCATGTTTAAATTTTATTTTGATTACTTCCTTACTTATTCTAAAAATAATACAAATTCATGAAAACAACAGTTTACAGCTAGGGTTTTTCTGCGCCTGAGTAAAGTGTGTTGATGTATGGTGTTTAGAAAATAGTAATAGTTTTTTTCTAGCCGACCATTAAACTTAGATCGTTCATTAACATTAAACTGTACCAATTTTACTACACTAGATGCGCATTTCAATCAGATGCTCTCGAGACCGCCATGTTTAGAAATCAAAAACCCAATACAAACGTTGACGAGCTGATGTAACAAAAAGACCGAAATAATAGAAGAAACCCGGACACGGAATCAGAGCATAAGTGAGATCCTTTCCTTAATCGCAAATGATTCTTAATTTTTTATACAGCAATCTTATGTACAGTTAAATTTTAGTCTGCACAAAACCTATTAGTAAGAAATTTAATTAAATACATGTACCAGACAAATTTTTATAGCAGATTGTTTAACAAGATATTTATTGAGTCCAAAGAATTTCGTGTCTCATTTGATATTAAAATGTATATTCAGATACCCATTGTCTTAAATAATCGGTAGGAATGCAGGCGTGTTGACTTATGCCACCTGTTTCATTAAAGACTAGACAAAGCTTTGAATATAACATGTTTTTTTTAAAGTTATTATTGTTCTTATCAGTTAAAAAAATCATTTGCTGCACCAGAACGCGCTTGGAAGACACTTATGCTAGGTAAATGGCCCGATAACACAATTATTGCCCTTTGATACAAATACAGTCCCTAGTGTGGACAGTGTATTACTTGCAATTTTTTCCATAACCATATATATCTGGAAAGAAAATACAATGAACTGTACATTTAATTTAATTTTAAATTGGGTATGATACATTTAATTCTTTTTCATGAAAATACAAGAAAAAACACGTAAATATCATTTTTAACGTCCATCCATTTTTATTTGTTTGGTATCATAGGATTGATTATTATGTAATAAAATTGAGAATGGAAATGGGGAACGTGTCAAAGAGACAACAACCCGACCATAGAACAGACAACAGCAGAAGGTCACCAACAGGTCTTATCTGTATAATGCGGTAATATTCTTCATTTATAAAAACTTATTGTTTAAGATAATGTAAAATACTCACATATGGAGCAGGGACATGTCCCGGTATCTTTCCAAATTTCCTCAAATTATTGAAATTTTCTCCTATACGTCCGCGTTTGTTCCAAATATACGAGGGCTGCGCTATTCGTCTCGGGCCATAATATTTGTTCAAAACTTTGCGGTAAAATGACTTGCTAATTGGCCTTAATCTGTGACATTCTATAACAAAGATTAAAGTCTGTAACATCAAAAGTCCAAACAATTTCATTTTCAAAATTTGTACTTTAAACTAAACACTGGACATTGAATTGGCCCAAGACAACCAGCACCTCAGATGAAACGGACACTAGTTATGATTGGAATATAAAATAGTAGAATAATTACGATGAACCCGACATGTTCATTCATCTATATACAAACAATCACATTAATATGACAAAAAGCTGAAAACAAAAGGTATGTGACATAGTTTTATCAATGATGACTGTCCAATTATAACTTTATTGATGAACACCAAGGGAACGATCAAAATGGTGGTACATGTAGATTTTTATGGGTTTTTAACAGCAAGACCTGTCTATTGTTTATAAATATGACTGCCATTTTTGAAAATGGTAAGAATTGGTTTTCAGTTTTCATTATATAATGAAGAAAATACAAAGTATTATACACAAAAACATACTACGTTGCTGTTTAATATTACGGCAGTTTTAGTCAATTTTCTTTTAATATGGTAAAAAAATCGTCAAAAACATTCTATAAAAATGCCGAAAATTTGTAAGTCAGATGAAACAAAACCAAAGAGTTAATGTGTTTTATATTATTTAGTTTAACAGGTTGATATATATTTTGTAGGTCACAGTTGACAGCTTTAACAAACTCCTTTTTTAACAGTAAAGGGACATTACGGAGACGGATATTATCTTACATCATGGTTATTTATATATTTTTACCAACCCATTGATTTTATATTGATGGCGGTGCTTTGCTGTTGTGCCAATTGACATTTCATTAGCGCCAAAAGAATCTTTCATTTCCTCAAACCGTATTTCATTCGCGCCAATTATACAGGTAAATAGTATGAATTACAGATATATATTGAAAAGAGACTTTTAATAAAAATGTTACAAAATAGTTTTGATATCATAATATAACATATTCTTCTTCATAAAACCAAACTGAAAATATTTAATACTTATTATTTTTTTTAATGATGAGATAGTACTTTCTACTTGTCTAAACCGTGGTTGACTGTTATTTATAATGGTTTTGATGTGACATATATCCACATTGTATGAATCAAAGGAGATTTTATGCAAAACGTCATCATCCAGATTGCAACCAAACAACAGCAATCAAACAACCCATAAAAGCTGAAATAAACTTCTCGTGACTATATATAAGCACGACCTTTTGTTTTTGAATCGTATCGTAGCTGTCTTATTGACATTCACCCAACGTTTTACTTTTATTCATATTACTCGTTTTTGAACCCTTTGTTTTTTATAAGCGCATTTGGCGAAGTTTATTGTCAAGGCATATGTAGTACATTTCAAATTACGTGTATTCAATTGTTTATGTCTATTGTTAATTGTTCTTGCTCCATACTTTTGAAAGAACTGAATTACAAGTTTTCATTTGTGCCATTAAATGAATATTGTCTATAGTTGAAAAGCATAAAAACATGTATGTGCTTCGGTTCAACTCTTAAAACTGAAAAGCGAATATTTCTCAGAAATTTCATAAACATTGAAACAACCATTTTTTAATTAATTGTCAAGATGACATTTTATAGACAAACACGTGACATTGAACAATAGATGTGTTCAACCTTTACGATTATTCTGTATATGATAGATATCCTTAATTTGGTTTATAACCTCGTATCACATGACCCGAAGGATGACCGAAGGAGGTATTTAACGGTGTTTACTGTTCGTTTTAAACTTAAACCGACCGTGCGAGACCCTCATGGGTAGTCAAGGTCGTTACACCCCAGTTCTATTGTTATACTTCATAGTTTCTATTTCTGAAACAAGTGTAAATTGAATAGATTTATTGTTACGAATAACAATGGACTTTGACCACAGGGTGTGACGAGCGGGGTTTCTGGAAACCCCTGCTTCTACATCCCGCAAACAAAGTCCATTGTTATTCGTAACAATAGAAATTGATTATTCTTTAAATAGCATGAACATAAGAAATTTCTAAAAGTGTTCACTACAAATTGTTTCATGATATTAAAAAAACACATTTTAGGAAATTCCAATAAGCATCTATATGGAATAAAAAAATAATCCTTTAAATACTCCTTTGCTTGAAGGTAATTTTTTTTATCCCAGTCATATGTCTCTTATCTCCCGACCCCCCCCCCCCCCACCCACGGTTACCTAGTGGCCGATCTGAGGTTGGGGGTTCCGCGGATTGGACCCGACTTTTATTTAAAAGATCAATGCATTTGAATGGTTGGAACACCCCCCCCCCCCCTCCTTTTTCTCATGAGTTGGGAACCTCCGGCTGGATCAGCCCCTGATTGCCCCCAAAAAGGGAGTTCTTCTACATTAAATTTTGTATGTTTAGCGTGTCTGGTAGTCGTGTTTCTAATGCAGACACACCTATTCCTTAATTAGTATGTTCGAATATGATTTTTTGTTTATTCAAGAGAAGAGGGGGGGGGGGGGCTTTTGTTTTTTATAAAATCGTAAGATATAAAATACAGTTATGATTACCTTTATTAAACTGATACAGGTAAGTACTTTGGGTTATAATATTGCCTTTATCTTTAGTCTCTTCTACCAAATCCAACGCTTGCCACAAAATGTCGTCCGTCTTATACCCGTCCATATTGACAACTGTATACCAGGAGCATGATGTATTTTTTGTTTGTAATAAGAATACACGTAACAGTCAACCTTGACCTGCTGATCCATATTAGCACATGGATTTAACGGGAATATGCAAAACAACTTTGACATTTGTAAAATATACTCACTTGTCAAAGTTTGAACGAAAATAACCAAAGAGAGGTTACTAGTGGGGTTTCATGTGAGAAAAAAATATTCTTATAAATCATGGTTTGAAATTGTCAATAAATATGCTATCGTTTTTTTTTTTTTTCATTTAATAATCAATGTTAACAAATATAGGGTTTAGAATGGGGTGTAAGTTAGTTATGCACCTCGGGATACGGCGTGTCTGGATAAGAAACCCCTCCGGCCTCCGGCCGTCGGGGTTTCTTATCCAGACACACCTATCCCTCGGTGTATAACTATTACTTAAACACCCCCTAGTAGTAGTGTTAAACTTGCATAATTCTATTTCATTGAAGGAAATACCTTTTCGAATATACTTATTTCAATGAGAACTGTTTAGTTCCACTATTTGGTTTCGGGCACCATTGTTGAAAAATGAATTTCTTGATGCACATGTGTGGCATGAAATTAATTTCTGTATTTTTTCTAATTTTGGTAAACAAACTCTTCAAAAGTGTTGTTTAATTTAGTAAGTTCCTGAATATAATGTACAAAGGCAGTAAGTGAAAGTTACTTTGGGTTTGTTTTTTTTCTTCTATTTGTATCTCTTATTCCCTGTGTATATAACTGAATATGTATTGTTATACAATTATGAACACGTATGACCCTACCATCTACCATGATCTTATTGACATATATATATATTGAATTACACATAGTCGACCAGTTTATGACGTCTTTACACTTCATCCGTTGAAAGTGTGTTGGTTGATATTTAAGTTTGGGAAAGCGAGGTATATGTACGAGTTGTAATTGGCTTTGAACTAGATTTCAGTAACTGTGGGTCCTCATATATCAGTATTTATGTGTTCTGACTATTTTTGAAGTCTGTTGTGCTTCGATCAAGCCCGTTCCAACTTATTAGTTCTTAAGGTGTGCTGTTATGTCGCATAACCAGGTTATTGGGAGGTTTGATCACTCACAAACATGTTAAACCCCGCCACAATCTTTATGTGCCGGCCTGTCTAAAGCCGGGGCCGGTAATTCAGCGGGTTTAGTTGGTTGCTGGCAACCATATTTGTTTTCGTTTATTGTTTTTTAGCATATATTAGGTCGTTGGTTTTCTATTTTGAATTATTTCCAATTTTGTCATGCCGGACCCCTAATAGCTTAATATTTGGAATGGAATTTGCTCATTGTTGAATACCATACAGTGAACTATAGTTGTTTACATCTTCGTCCTTTTGTCTCTGTTGGATAGTTGTCTCATTGGCAATCAAACCGCATTTACTTATTCTTATATAGGGATAAATGCGTATAATGATTGGGGTTGAGTTGAAACTTCACATTTTAGTTGGGGGAAGTTTAATTCGATTATATTTTGGCGGTTCTATGAATTAAAAAAATGTGATTAGAGGTTCTTTTTCTGTGCAACAAAGTTCCACATCGCTCATTCCTTTCAAATATACATTTGAATTGTTTTGAAATATGTTTCCCTCATTTTCAATTTTTGTTTCACAATGTATATTTGAATGTATGTATTTCTTTCCTCATTCTTTTGGTAAGTATCTGCTTCTACCAGAACCACATTGTCAGGTGCGGTGATAAAAATAAAAAAGGAGTTTAGCTTATTTTGTAACCAATTGATGTATGTCTTTTAAAAAGATGAGAAGATATAAAAAAAATCATTCAAAACAAATAAGACGACGAAAGACACAATGTCGAAAAGAAAAAGACTTAAAGAATAACACTAGTCCACAAAACACTACCCCTAAAAAACTAAATATAGTGTGACCTGTTGTGATGCTCAGGACATAGAAAAAGGTTCACCTGATTTATAATCGACTCTCATCTGTGCTGTGCATCGGGAGCCGTATGTTTGTGGAATGTTTAAACTGTGTTAAAATATAATGAAACGCAACTTCATTTTCGTTTTTGGCACACGGACAAAATGTGTGTTTGATTCTACACCTCTTGTTTTATATGGGTTCGTTTTGCTCAAAATTTAGTTTTCCTTAAAAAATTTTGTGGTTATATTCTTTCGTTCTTCATTTGTTCATGGCATCATTTGTTTTTCTTCGATTTGTTGTTTATTGATTATCCCCCTTGGTCATATTCACGTATTCAACAGGAAAAGAAATGACAGAAAATTAATATGAAATCTTTAATAGACTCACGTGCATCTTTTTTTGTAAAAAAAAGTCATAGTAACTTCATTTACATGCATAGCTCATTCTAGATGCAGTCTTCATTAAATTGATGTAACTTCACGTAAAATTTATGTTAATTATGTCTGTGCATTAGGAAACAATCAAACGCCAACACAGTTATATTTCCATTCAAACAACAAAAACATTGATAAT